TTACAACTTAGAACTACTATAAGCGGTCAGATGACCAAAATCTTTTTTTATTTTTTTATTTTTATTTTTTCTTTTACTTAGGGGACCATTTTCAAAAACAGACCAGTAGCGGGACCAAAAGTAAAATGAGGGTGACTTGAGGGACGAGAAACTCCTTTTGCCCTTTAGTTAATTGCAATTAAACCATGGGGTCAATCTGTGAAGTCAAAAAAGTTTAATTAAAAGGCAGCGAGCGGTTCTTCGCTTAGTAGAGCTACCGGCCGCCGGACGAGAACCGCTTCTTGTTCTCGCCCAAAATTTCTCCATAAAACCGCCTCTTCAAAAACCCCCATGTGGGGGGAGAGGAGGCGGCTGCTAGCGACTACCTCCCTTCTATCAAAAATCCCGGAAAAAGGCCAATCAATCCAGCTTCCAACGAGGTTCAATTTAGACCATGGGTTAAATTTGTAATTTATAAAAAATATATAAAAACATATTTTTTTTTATATATTTTATACACACACACACACACTATATATTGTATTTACAACAAATAACTAATTTAAAATAATAAATAAAAATATTTTTATAATATAAATAATAAGTATAATTCAGGTTAATTCAAATATTTCGCACTGCATATAATGAACAATATACTAAACAAGATGTCACATTAGTGACTATTTGACTACACAATAATGTTGATTGAAATACACGTTATTAAAGTTGTCTATATACAAAAATAGTATTTGTGTATTTTACCTTTATGTATATTATTTATTTCAACAAACAATAATATGAAATATTAAATAAAAATCTATATGTACCAGATATAGTTATATGATAATATATTATTTTATAATTGCAAAATAACAATAATTAAAATACACATTATTAAAGTTTCTAAAATTGAAATGCACATTAAAAAAATACACAATCAATAGAGTGGACAATAACGATAGAGTAAATGCACATTATTTTCTGTGGAAATGTACATACATTATTAAATTATTGATATCGATATTTTATATATTATGTCTGTTAAACCGAAACTGAATTTAAAACATTAAATATAAACATTGAAATAATAAATATATTTTATAAAGATAATATTAAATTATATATATTGTTTAGATTAATTTGGTGAATCGGTTGAATAAATCGATTAATTAAATCAACTTTAGGTGCAATTGGGTGCGGTGGCTGAGGTGTGGGTTGACCTGCTGCGGTTCCGGGGTTGGGGCTTCGTCTCCGTTAGGCACCCGAGGGGTTTAGGCAGTTTCGGGATCGGTGCTCCTGGCCACGGGATCCGTGGTCGACTTGTTTCCGCTGGTTGGCTCGGTGTTACTGCTAAGGAAGGGCTCGTTTAGTTTAGTTTGTGCTATTTTGTTTTGTCTTGTGTGATTTTGTTTTGTCCTATTTATTTTCTGGTCTCTTTTGTAGGATGGTGGTTTTGGTTTGGGCCATTTGGCCTCAGTATTTGAGCGGGAGCACGCTTATTATCCCGTTGGGATCTGCTCCCGTCTCTATTCTCCTGTTGGGAGCCTTGTAGTTTTTCTTAGTATTTGTCGTGTGCTTTTATGTTGTGCTCTTTGTTTTTTGGTTTCTAGCGTTGCTAGTATCGGGATTCTAGGCAGTCGTCGGACTTGTCCTCCCATTTTATTCTCCCGTTGGGAGCTCTGTACTTTTATTCGCACATTGTGCGTTTTGATTTATAATAGTTACTCTATCGTTTCGGGAAAAAAAAAAAAAAAAATCAACTTTAGGTTGGTATGGATCAAACACTTAAAAATATATGCGATTAAGTGCATAATAGTGTTATACGTATTGTACATTAATGACCATCTGATTGCACATTTCGGTATGATTATCTATTTTTACATTTCAAATATCAGTTATTTCTGTTTGATGTCAGCTTTATTTTTTAAAATAACCAAATAATCGCACAAACTGAACTATATAAATTATTATTATTATTATTATTAATTGAAATGGGAATTCATTCTTGTAACAAGCATAAAGAGGCAGCTCGACATGACCGGAACGACAACAACGATGCACTTACGGCACAATACATGACACCATACNAAAAAAAAAAAAAAGAAAGTGATCATGAGAGTTCGACATAGCAGACCACAACCCCCTAGAGGCTAGAGAGAGGTAGCTAGCTAAGCTACCTATAGCGAACCACATTTGATCTTCTTAAAGGAAACAGTCTTTTGAACGAGGTCGATCCCCACCAAAAAGTCGGCCTGTGCCAGGTTGCCGTAAATAGGCGTTCCACTTGTCGGCAAAGCCGCCAGGCACAACAACATCTGACCATCATCAGTTGGACCTACCGTTACCAACACATTGTCGTACCCCAAAGTCACGGCTTTCCCGCCCATGTAAACTGTGACACCAGGAAATCTAGCGCTCAAGTCCTTGTTCGTATTATTATTGAAGCACAAATCTATGTTCCAACCTTCTGGGGGCTGCAGTGGGCTCCGGTTTGTCTCGTTCGATACCCACTGAATAATGGCACTCTTTAAATTGTAGTACATATCCTGCGGAAGCAGTGTCAAGGTCGTCCCTATATCCACAATCATGTCGACAGGGGACGACGATAAATCCTCCAGCTTCGCGTTCCCGAAGCCAATCCCTTCCAGCCCCACAATGTAGTAGCTCAAAGTTTCCGGCCTCTGCAGCCGAGGTACCGACACAACTCCTTCTCCAGCGACGGGGCTGCCGCCGAAACTCATCTTGCCCGTGTCTTTTTCGTCCGCCGCCGACGCCAGGCAGTAGGAGAATCTCCCCTGCCCCAGCTGATGCACGAGGGACAGCTCTCCGCCCCCGAGCCCGACCATGCCGACCCCGTTAGTGCCCGTGTAATTGCATCCGAACGTGATGTTACTCGCCGAGGTGCCGTCGTCGAACGTGATGGTGTCCGCAAAGAGGTCGCCCACGACGGAAGTCCCGTCAAAATATGTCATGTTGAAGTTGCATCTGTTTCTGCCTACTGGCGTGCAGTTGGTGAGGGAGTCGCAGATGGTAGGGGTGCAAGGGACGGGCGTCGAGAGCCGGGGGTCGAAGCCAGTGCGGCCGCCGCATGTGGTCCAGATGAGGTCACTTCCGGTGGCTGGGGTGCCTGTGGTAGAGAATGAGCCGATTGAGTAATTGAGGAGATATAGGCCTTCCGAGTTCACGAGTGTGGGGTTGGGCAATGGTTTTTGTGCGGAGAGCTGATGGTGATGGAGGGATCTTTGGAATGCTTTGGCTAGTCGTTGAGTGGAGGAGAGGGAAGAGTCCCGGTGAATTAGGGTCACCGTAGGACTGGTATTAGTATTTTGGCCGCCGCATTCCGAGAAGGGGGTCAGCATGAGAAGGGAGATGAAGGCAGCAGCAGCTATTATGAGAATATTCATGCTAGCAGCTGTCATATATTATTACAATACAAATTAGCAATACAAGGTTTTTGTCATGGAATGCCTATATCTTGTGCTATTTATATATATTCATAAAGGCCCAAGAGTGCTCAAGTTTTTCGTAGGCGTGACTTGTGAATAGCATGGAATATTTGAATAACTTTTTGATATAGTTTTAATATATATCTTGTGCTATATTTTATATATTTATAAAGTTTTTAACAACTTTTTGATAAAGTTTTTAATATATCTTGTACCTATATCTTATATATTTATAAAGTTTTTATTAACTTTTTGACCACTTGAATCAAAATTTGGACAATTTATTCAAACACTAACCTAAAATATAGGCTTGAATGGCTGGTTTCTCATTCTGTACATTAAGTTGTAGGGTGACTAGTAGTGATGTTAAATAAAACGAGGTTGGCTCGGCTCGGCTCGTTAAGGCTCGAGTTCGTGGCCTTAACGATCCGAGCTCGAGCACATTTAAAGCTCGTTTGGCTAATGAGCCGACTTCGGCTTGGCTCGATAAGGTTCGAAAATATAATTTTTTATAGTTCGGCTCGTTAAAGCTCGAGATCAGCTCGAGCTTGAGGCCTTGACGAGCCGAGCTCGAGCTCGATTTCAAGCTCGTTTATTTAAAGAGTCAAGCTCAGCTTGGCTCGGCTCGTTAAGGGCTCGAGCACCCTAAGCTCGAGCTCGACTCGACTTGTTTACAGCCCTAAGGGTGAGCATAGATTAGTAAAGTTTAAATATTATTAACATTCAATTTCCAGAATCATAATTAGTAAGGTGTGGTGACATCCTTGACAACCCGGTCCTCAACTCCTCTGCCGGTCTCAAACTGTCATTTTCTCAACCTCTTAGCTCTGGAAAGCACTTGGAACCTTCCAATATAGACACTCTGATGCTTAAGTTAGTATATCTCTCCACCGCATACGGTAATGTTACCCCAAATTTATGATAATGGAAGAATATTAGTCATTGACATTTCATGGCCCAAGAGTGCTCAAGTTTTTCGTAGGCGTGACTTGAGAATAACTTGGAATATTTTAATAACTTTTTGATATAGTTTTTAATGTATATCTTGTGCTATATTTTATATATTTATAAAGTTTCGATTGATTTTTTTTGGGTTAGATTGATAAACAATCACCCTTTAGAAATCCCAAATGACGAATCGCAAATTGTTTGCTTTAAGAGAAACAAATTTGATTTTAAACAGTGTAGGTGGCCAACGATGTGACAAGCAAATATGGAACCATTCTGACCGTTAGATGCACATGATCAATATGGGTTATCATGTGCATCTAACGGTTACAAATCTCAACGGAATGGTTCTGTAATAGAATTGTAGCATTTTCCTATATTATTATTATTAGTATTATTATTATTAATTGAAAGGGGAATTCATTCTTGTAGCAAGCATAAAGAGGCTGCCAAAGCCGCTCGACATGACCAGAAAGACAACAACGACTCACTTACGACACAAAACATGACACCATACTTGGAAAAAAAAAGAAAAAAGAAAAAAGACAGAAAGAAAGAAACTGATGACAGTTGACCACAAGTACCCCCTAGAGAAGGAGTGAGAGCTGAGAGGTAGGTAGCTCCTAGCTAACCACATGTGGTCTTCTTAAAGGAAACAGCGTTTTGAACGAGGTCGATCCCCACCAAAAAGTCGGCCTGTGCCAGGTTGCCGTAAACAATTCTTCCATCGGTTGACGGCTTAACCATCAGGCACAAAGACAGGTCAGCAGGAGTTGGACCTGTCTTTAACAGAACATTGTTGTACCCCAAAGTCACGGCTTTCCCGCCGCCCATGTAAAATGCGACACCTGGAAAAATAGCGCTCAAGTCCTTGTTAGGAGGGCTGAAGCACGAATCTAGGTTGGAATTAGGTGGGGGCGGCACTGGCGTCAGCTTCGCCTCTTGCGTTGCCCACTTAGTCACGGAAGTATTTAACTTGTCGTACAGATATGGCGGAAGCACTGTCAAGGTCTTCCCCGTATCCACAAGCATGTCCTACGGGGACGATAAATGGCCCAGCGTCATATTCCCGAACCCAATCCCTTCCAGCTCCACAATGTAGTAGCTCTTGTATTTCGGCCTCTGCACCAGCGGTACCGACACAACCCCATCCCCAGTGACGTGGCTGCCGAAACTCATCTTGCTGCTCTTGGTTTTGGTGTTGGTCACCAACACCAGGCAGTAGGAGAAACTCCCCGGCCCCAGCTGATTCACGAGCGACAGCTCTCCGCGCCCGAGCCCAACATTGCCAAACTTGTAGCCCGAGTAATCGCATCCGAACTTGATGTTACTCGCTGAGGTGCCGTCGTCGAACTTGATGGTGTCCGCAAAGAGGTCACCCGCGACAGAACTGCTGCCATATTGCATTCTGAATTGGCATTTGTTTCGTACTGTTTTGCAGTTGGTGAGGTCGTCGCAGATGGTATCGGTGCACGGGACGAGCATCGAGAAGCTATCTCGGCTGCTGCATGGGGCCCAGATGAGGTCACTTGCAGTGTCGGGGTTGCCTGAGGTAGACAATGAGCCGATTGAGTATTTGATGAGATAAGTACCGTTGGTGTTTGAGATAGTGGGGCTGGGTGGTGGTGTTTGTGCGGAGGAGAGGGAATTCGAGTAGTCCCTGTGAATTATGGTCACGGTCACAGTAGGACAAGTATTACTATTACTATTACATTCCGACAAGGTGGTCAGCATGAGATTTTTCATATTCTTTACCTGGATATAATCGAATTAGAGTATAAGAAGGGAGATGAAGGCAGCCGCAGCTATTATGAGAATATTCATGATAGCAGCTGTCATATCCCCTCTTAATATAATTTAAAAACATGCTGAGCTTAAATGGCTGCTTCTCACACTTCGGAAGCTTACTTGGCAACATTACATTCTTCGATTTTTGGTTCGGATACATTCCCTAATTGTTTAAAATAAAATACTTAATAAATACGATTCTTATATGTCGGGTAAATCCTCCAACTCTAAAATAAATAGGATTCTTATCTTATAAGGCTTCCCAAATAAATAGGATTCTTATATGCCGTGTAAATCCTCCAACTCCAAATTCTTATCTTATAAAGATGCCAACATTACATCTTAGGATTCCAACTCCAAATTCTTATCTTATAAAGATGCCAACATTACATCTTAGGATTCTTATCTTGTCGTGTAAACCAAAATAAAAAAATTTAGCTTTATATATTATTTTATTTATATAATTAATGTAAACAATAATTTTTTTATATAGTTTACATTAAAAAATACTATAATTTTACAAAAAAATATATACCCACTTGCATATTATATCTTTTCAATCCAACCATAAATAAACTATTTAAATCTTTTTAGAATATCTATAAAAATACATTAAAATAGTTATACAATATTATATGATCTTTCTAATATATTTTAAAGAGTTGAAATAGTTATACAACAACATGTGTTTTTTCTATTATTTTATGTTTTATATTTTTTTCAAACAACCCGTATAATACACGGGTGTCATACTAGTAATATATTACAATACAAAATTTAGGATGCATTAAGTTTTTGTCAAGGAATGCATACCTTGTGCTATTCCTATTCCTATTTATAAAGGCCCAATGGTGTTCAAGTTCTTGTTGGCGTGACTTGTGAATAGTTTGGAATATTTTATCTAGCGTGATAGTGGAAGATTTGTCATGGACATTTTATCACCATCTTTCATTTTTTCAACTGACTCAATTCTCACATGTTTTTATTAACAACTTTTTGACCAGTCAAGTCAAAATTTAGACAATTCGAATCACTAGCTGAAAAACAGGCTAGAATTGTTCGCTTTTCATTTTCCTTTATTAAGTTGTAGGGGTGGATATGAGTCAGTACGGTCTGGATATCACTAAGATTCAATCTCCGAAACTCATAAATAAGGTGTGTTGACGTCCTTGAGAATTCGATCTTGAATTCTTGTGTCGGTCTCAAACCGTCCTTTTCTCTGGCTCTGGATCGACCCAGCTTGGTGATCGAAAAGGGCAATATATGTTACCCCAAATTTATGATAATAGAAGAATATTTGTCATGGACATTTCATCACCTTTTTTCATTTTTTCAAACACTCAATTTTCGCGTGTTTTTATTAATAACTTTTTTACCACATAAATCAAAATTAGGAATTAAATTTGAACCACTGGGCTAAAAAATAGGTTGGAATTGTTGGCTTGACATTTTCTACATTAGTAGGGCGTGTGCATGGGCCAGTACAGTTCGGATATTACTAAAATTCAATTTCTGAAACTCATAATTAGTAAGGTGTGTTGAAATCCTTAACATGCCCGGTCCTCAACTCATATGCCGGTCTCAAACCGTCCTTATCTCGATCTCTTGGCTCAGGAAAGCATCGGGAACCTTCCAGCTTAGACACTCCGATGCTTAACTTACTATATCTCTCCACCGCAAAGGGCAATGTTACCCCAAAATTATGATATTTGAAGAATATTTGTCATGGACATTTCATCACCTTTTTTTATTTTGTCAAACACTCAATTTTGGCATATTTTTATTAATAACTTTTTGACCACTTAGATCAAAATTTAGACAATTTGAACCACTGAGCTGAAAAAATATGTTGAAATTGTTGGCTTGTCATTTTCTAAATTAAGTTGTCGGGGGCGAGCATGACTCGGTACGATTTGCAGATCACTAAAATTCAATCTCCGGAACTCATAATTAGTAAGGTGTGTTGACATCCTCGACAACCCAGTAACTCCTCTGCCGGTCTCAAACCATCCTTCTCTCGACCTCTTGGCTCTGGAAAGCACCGGGAACCTTCCGGTGTAGACACTCTTATGCTTATGTTAGTATATCTCTCCCTTGCAAAGGGCAATGTTACCCCAAATTTATGATAATGGAAGAATATTAGTCATGGATATTTCATCACCGTTTTAAATTTCAAACACCCAATTTTCTAAAGCAGCTTTAGGGGGATCGAGGGAGATATTAAGTTAGGAGACTGAGGATTAGTTTTTTCGGGAAGACTATTCTACAAGATCTAAGAGAAAAGGTCAGTAAAGCCTTTAACAAAAGAAGGATTCCAAAAAATGTATAACATCAGGATGGGGAAGAGTGTTGTCCTCAGGTGGGTTTAAAAGTGGGACTAGAGTTAGACGTCATTGGATTTGATTAGTACAAGGTGGATTCACTGAAAAATTATATCAGTCGCCCTTCCTCTAGTACCAATTTGTTGGCGAGCACCAACAATCCTTAATCACTAATATGTTGGTGAAAGAAAAAATACGGTATAGAATAGCAGAAAGATAAAAAAACACGCACTTCCATCGATCTACTGAGAGATCGACGAGGAGAAGGACTCTTCGAAAATGATACTAACAAAGATTGTTATTGTTGCAGTAGTAGCTCTAATTTGAGCCTGTGAATGCTTGTATGTTGCTAAACTACTGTGTTAGGGTATTTGCTAGTGATTATTTGTGTGTATCTTGCCCTTTTTTCCCTTGGCTTGTTTCTTTTCTTCCTGTTAAAATGAGGTGTCGAGGGCCTTCTTCATACACCGAGAAAGGTGAAATGTAATTATAGTCAATTTTCACCTTGATGGCTAGGTGAATGACGTGTGGTTCCATGCAGGGATTCGCCTTTTAGGCGGTGGTTTCACCATTTTTAGCGGTTTTACAAGGTTTATCTGTTGCAGAGCAATCGCTGATCATGGGATCGGTACTTTGCGATACATGACGATCGGGCGATCGGCAGATCGTCTTCTCATTGTTGGACCGATCATGTAGAGGCCTACTGGTTTTCTTGGGCTTTACTTAGGCATGAGATGTTTTGGTGATAATGGATCGTATTTTCGTCTTAATCATATGGGCTTTCAGAGGATGCTTTTATAACATACATACAACTTCAAAACTAGTGATCGTATTTCGTCTTATTTTTTATATACATGGTTATAAAATGTTTAGCTCTATTTGTTGTTCTGTTTTACCAGAAACCTGACGTGTATCTCAGGTAGATGCTCTGAGAGAAATTGTATGAAAATGATACTGTTGAATCTAAAGAGTCGAGCATTGTGAACTCGAGCCATTTCGATCGTTTGCCGAAGTTATTGCAAGACGATAAGGTTTGTGGTACGATCGTATGTGGAGGTCAATAGGAAATAAATAATTTAAAAGCTCTGAAACTCAGTTTTCTTGTTACTCGAGTAGCTCATTGTTGCTCTTTTATACGTGAAACAATTATATATAATTATCTATATTGAAAAATTGGTTTCGTATCTATGTTTTTGTTGATGACTTCTTGTTACTTGAGTAGCTAATTGTTGCTCTTTTCTCTGTTAGATAATTAATTATTCCGATTATTCTTGTTGTACTTCTAAAATATGGTCATTAAATACATAAATTCTACAGTTAATTATAGATTATGTTGGGTACGGTTAAGCCCACTAGTATTAATATATAATAAGTGTGCAAAAGACCTCAACCAAGTTCGCACGACTTGATTTGCTTCTTGACCTGTTCGTAGACCTGCAAAATGGGCCGAAAGGGGTCCGCGACGTTAGCACTTCGACGATCAAGTTAGTCCACATTGATGAAGATGATGAACAATAGATATAAAGCTTTGTAAGGTTATGTTTTGTAAAACTAGCTGATAGCTGATAAGCTAGCTTATAGCTTATATGTAACTTTTGAGCTTATAACTTATAACTTATAGCTGAAAAGCTAGCTTATATGATAAAAGTGTTTGGTAAAATTAGCTGATAAGCTAGCTGCAATAAAAAATTCAACTAGTTTATTTGAAAAGCTACCTAAAGTAGCTTATGAAATAAGCTCAAGCTTTTTAAAAAAATTCGTCATATCAAACGAGACTTATTTGGATACAGATAGCTCATAAGCTAAACCAAATAAGCTAGCTTATTTGGTTTACCAAACATAGCCTAAGTATAATAGATTGTGTAGAATGTAAATGGACATACCTCACTTATTTACGTAGGGGTATAAAACCTTATTACCAAAGACTGCCCGAGTGCTCTTACTGCCCGAGTACCCAAATTGTCTAATTCTATTAGGCCACGTGAACTAATCCCCATGTAATTTTTATCATAATTATATTTTTTTATCCATTAGTTTGTCTTATTAGACGGTCTAACCATGCGACCGATCTGATTCACCAGAGTGCCTTCTACGCTAAGCTTGTACGTTGTCTCCAAAGTCTATCCTTCAACCGCAATACCTTCAGGTCGAGCAGGTCATTCGAGAACCTTAGTTTGACCAATCGACGACCCTCAGTGTCCGTGATGTCACTCTCGACCGGATGATTCTCCGACCTCTCTGGCCTTCGATTTTCTGTCGACCTGACGGTCCACAAAGTTAAGTTGGTCTGTTTCTCGAGTCAAGTCAACCCGATATGGCATCCCATATCAAATACAACCTTAATATAGTTTCGATACACGGGCCACACCTTAATATAATTTCCCCGTATATCACATGTCCACGTCATTAGTGTACGAAGTACTGAATTTAAAATGGCATGAATATAAACAACTAATTGATGAATGGTAGAATAAAAATCCATCTAATAAAAAAGGTAAAAGTCAGAGGACCCTGGTTAAGTAAAAGAAGTTTCCCTACATTGGTCTTCTCACTGAAAATAAGAAAATGCTGAGTTTGGCTCATAGAAGGTTGAGAAGGTTAAAGAAAAAACTCAATGAAACACGTCGAGTCAGATTACTTACGTTTCGAAGTCGGGTAAACTCAAATTGACCGTGTTTTTGGGTTAGATCTGGGTAGAGTATTACTACCCGAAAAGTGCTCTTACGGGGAATCAGATTTTCCAGATTACCTAATATTTTCACCCACCAATATTCAGTTTCAATCAACTCAACAGCAAGTACGAAGAGACATACATAATGCACCAAGTACTAGAAAGAGACTGCAATCACCCGAGTATCCATAAGTAACAAGTATCAATTCACACCCAACGGGCAAAGGGAGCGAACGTGAAACAAGAGACAAAGCAGATTAAAGTTCCCCACAGGAAAAAAATAAAAATATGAGAGAGAGAAAAGGGTTATACATTATATATTTGTGTTATGTTTGTATATTATACATGTCAGTTACAAAATAGCACATCTGCCACTTTCAGCCTGCTTACGTAGCTCTTCCGTTTCCCTCTGCGCTCTCTCCAAATGCTCTCTAAGTTTGCGAATTTCATCGTTCGATTTCGATTGTGCAGCTTGAGCCATTGCTTCTGCTTTGAGCCTAGCATTTTGCTCCTCTGCAAGTTGCTTCTCAAGCCTATGTGTGGTCTCCTTGAGCTTCGACTCGACCTGTAAACATCAATCATTAACGTCAACATAAAAGGTCAAAATAACCCACGTTTGTCGCCTTTTCGAATTCCTCAAACATTGCAATTAGTCAATGTAAAGGGCAAAAACAGCACAACTAACCATCTCGGTTATTCTCCTAAGCTGTTCCTCGTATGATTTATGAAACTGATCCGTTAGATAGGATATTTCCTGTTTGGAGTACCCTTCCATGGCATTAACTTCGGCAGTTTGGTCACGCAGCTTGATTGCTCCTTTCTGTTGTTGCGCATTTGTTATCATTCAAAAGCAATCGTTATTACAAACATTCTAGTATAATTGTATATAGAATTATTCATATATGCAGCAATGATGTAATAACTGATAATATGAATGTCTCACCTTGAGCTCAACAAAAAGCTCATCAGTGTACGGTTTCCCACCATTTTGATCCACAACAGCATTCACAAGGGAAAGAAGTTGTTTCAGTTGTTTGGATTTCTTGCCTGCTTCTTTTGTCTTGTTATCGAACAGAACACGCCTATTCCCGCACATCCTCAGAATTTCCTGTATCATGACCGGAAATAAAATTATGAAACAACATTCTTTTAGCAAGGGGTATATAAGGAAAAATCCATTTCAAATAGAAGAAAAACAAGCATTGCGCCTTGATTCAGATATCCATGAAAAACTGTAAACAAACTGCAAATGCATATTAACTTAATAAATCAGGATTATTTATAATCTTGACTTGTAAGTTGAAGCTACGAAAACAAAAAAATGCATCAGTAAGGTAATATAAATAACTACCACATCAACTTGGACAATTGATATTACAAATTCACAGTTTCCTATTAATGGTGATATAATATGATTTAGTCGAATTGAATAAAAGGACAAATTGAACCACAACACTCTTCCTATTCCTTAACTATTGTAAGATGAATCAAAAGGGGAAACAATAAAAAGACACATAGCACAATTTACCTTCAAAGGCTCAGGACAGGCACCCAAGTAACCATCCAGAGTTTCATCATTTTCTTCCAGGTCATCACCGCCAGTGAACACCACAACCATATAATCACTAATTTTGCTACCGAAGAATTTCCGCAAGCTCTGAACGGCAGCTTCTTCTTCTCTGGAAAACCGAGACCTCACTGATAGGACGACAAGAACGGCATGTATACCATCCTTGGCCATATTGATGCACTTAACAATTTCCCTCCCAATAAACTCGGGTTCAGCAGAAAAATCAAAGAGTCCTGAAAAATTACAAATTAGTTTTGATTTCAAAATGCACCAAATGAACATAGAAATAATACTGAATTCGCCATCTTTAATAAAAGTATGGTACCTGGGGTGTCGATCACATTAAGGATCTGTCCTTCTTCCAGAATGGTTGTCTGCAGTTCACATGTACTGGTGACACCAGCAGAGCTAGAAATTGACCTAAACGCCCTTCTGCCAAGGATACTATTGCCTGTTGCGCTTTTCCCATTCCCCGTTCGCCCGACCAAAACTACGGTTCTAACCTCACTCAGAGGCGTAGCGAATAACTCCCAATCATCGTCAACTGCACTTCCCCCCATTTTATTACAGATGAACTTATCTGCCAAAGACCAACATACACATTCACTTAAACAATTACAGGTACACGAAGAACAATGAGGGGAAAACAAGAACCCTTTACACATTGCACTGAATTCCCAATGAAACGAAAAAAAAAAAATCTACAATTTTGCGTGATTTTTTTCACTGATAAGCACTTAAAAAAGGCAATAAAAAGACCCTTACAATTACTGGTTATCGTAATCCTAAACAGGTCGCCCAATAATCACCAAAACCCTTTGCGCCGAAAAGGAGGGATTGGAGAAAGAGAAGATCTCGACTAGTAAAAATTGAAACTTTAAGACATCAAAATATGTCAATCTAAAAACATCGAATCCGACAACCTTACAGACCCACATAATACACATAAGCATCTGGGATTATGAAAATTTTGAATAAAAATAACAGATCATCATCAAATCACTACAGGAAAACGGATAATTCTTGAAAAAAAAAAGTAGTTCGACGTACCAGTTCAGGTGATTGGAATGGAAAAAGGGACCAGTGAGTTTAGAAAGGAGAAGTCTTTATCTAGCCAGATATATAAAAATAAATATATGCAATCAAAATTAGAGTCTGAACTCTCGAGTCTTGGGAGTATGTGGAAATATCTCTAGCTCATGCCAAGATAAAAATGTTTCTTGAGGACCTTGACTATGATTCATTAATTATCGGCCATTGGATAGTAAATTCTAAACTTTATAATTTACTAGTAATCATCTTGTTATATGCACATATATAAATAAAATATTAATTTATTAATATAATATTAAATCATAATTCAATAATAGATATATCACATTTTCAAAATTAATTATTACTAAATATTAAACAGTATAAATATAAATTATTTAAGTATATATGAATCACTATATTGATTGAAAAAAGTTTGAGAATAATATAATTTTTAATTTTGATGGATCATAGTCAATTAATTTTAGTTGAAAACTTATTATTATTATTATTATTAATATTAATATTATTATTATTATTATATTAATTGATTGAAAACATATTATTATTATTATTATTATTGTTATTATTATTATTATTATTACTATTATTATAGAAATAATTATTTATAAGATTTTAAGGTGGTTTGACTATGCTATTAAGCTATTAGCTTTTTTTTTTAAAGAAAATCGTTTCTTGAGATTCAAAAAAAAAAGATAATATTGATTTTAGAATAAAGAGTTTGATCAAAAACATTTGCAATGTAACCTTTTTATATGTATGTAATTTTTATATAATATTTAATGTAAATTATTATTAGTTGGTAATGGATGTTGGAGAATTTCAAATTCATGTAGATGTTTTTTAGTCATTATTTTGAAGGATTTGAAATGACTCCTCAAACTTAGTCATTTGAAATCTAATGTTTATCACCGTTGATGACCACGCCGTCCGCGATCATTTAGGTTCATCACCACCGTGAGTCAACACCATCGGTGCAAGCTAGACAATTGATTTATAATATTCTCAACACATCCATTCAGGGAGTGTGGAAGTAAAAAAAATTATATTTCAAAAATTTTGAAATCAAGGGATTTCAAATTACTGAAAGCAAACGGACTCTAAGATTTTTTTTTGAAAGTTTAAAAAATCTGAATTAAATTTTATGAGGCTACTACATCAACACCACCGTAATCTCATCATTTGGGGTTTGTGTACAAAAACTGAAATAAAAATATCACAGATTTTAAGTAACAAGCCGCATCGCACGGAATGCGCATAGTTCCAAATGAATATCCTAAGATTTTTTTTGAAAGTTTAAATAATCTAAATTAAATATAATATAATGAATATCCTAAGATTTTTTTTGAAAGTTTAAATAATCTGAATTAAATATAATAGGATTCTTAAAAGTCTTTAAAAGTTTTTAAAAATGTCAAATGACGAATTGCAAACTGTTCTTTTAAGAGAAACAAATATGATTTTAAAGTGTGGAGGTGGCCACTGACAAGCAAATTAAACACCCGGATATATTATTATTGCTATTATTATTATTATTCATTGAAAGCGGAATTTCACTTTTTTTTAAAAAGCATAAAGAGGCGGCCAAGTTGCACATACGCAGCTCCACATGACCGGAAAGACAACAACGACTCACTTACGGAACAAAACATG